ACACACACACACAGGTGTAATGCTCTCTCTCTCTGTGTTCAGTCTGCAGAATGTGTTCTCCAAGAAGCTGCTGAGTGGAGACAAGTATAAGTTCAGGTCAGTGGTGTGGAGTCATTGACCTGCAGTGTGTGTGTGTGTGTGTGTGTGTGTGTGTGTGTGTGTGTGTGTGTGTGTGTGTGTGTGTGTGTGTGTGTGTGTGTGTGTGTGTGTGTGTGTGTGTGTGTGTGTGTGTGTGTGTGCGCGTGCGTGTGTGTGTGTGTGTGTGTGTGTGTGTGTGTGTGTGTGTGTGTGTGTGTGTGTGTGTGTGTGTGCGTGTGTGCGTGTGCAGTGTTAGTAAAGATCAGAAACACTTCTGGAGCTCTTACCGTACTCTGTTAACTCCAGCGTGTGCTAACACATTATTAATATTTCATATATTATAATGGAGCCAAAAATAAAATGAACTAATGATTGAAAATGAATTCAAACAGTTGATCATATGTAAATATTGAATTTAATCACATTCTAACACCATTACATCCCACGTACAGCGACGTGCCGAGCAATAAAAGAGCATTTAGGCCCAAACTGTGAACAGGAACCAGTGTGTGTTAGCTGAGAACTGATGTTGTTCTTCTCTGAGTGTGTGAGTAGAAGAGCTGTGATTCTTCCTCTCCTCTGTGCAGTCCTCCAGAGCTTCAGTTTTACACCAGCGCGTTTGCGGTCATCATGCTCATACCGGCCTGGATCTTCCTGATGGTCAGTCCTGCACGCTTTTTCATGCTTTTTACACTCTTTTACATGCTTTTTACAAAGTTTACATGCTTTTTACAATTGTACTTGTTTTTTACACTATTTTACATGCTTTTTACATGCTTTTGCTCTGTTTTAAATGCTTTAACACTCTTCTGCATGCTTTTTACATGCCTTTACACTGTTGACATGCTTTTACATGCTTTTTACACTGTTATAAATTCTTTTTACGCTATTTTGCATAATTTTTACATGCTTTTGCTCTCTTTTATATGCTTTAACACTCTTTTGAATAATTTTTACATGCCTTTTACACTGTTATACATGCTTTTTATGCTAATTTACATACTTTTTACATGTCTTTGCACTCTTTTACATGCTTTACATGCCTTTTCACTTTTTACATGCATTTTACACTGTTTTACATACTTTGTACAAGCTTTTACACTTTTACACGCTTTTTACATACTTTTTACACTGCTTTACATGCTTTTTACATATTTTAACACTGTTTTACATGCTTTTACTGTTTTACATGGTTTTAACAATGTTTTACATGCTTTTCTCACTGTTTTACATGGTTTTTAACATTCTTTATGACTTTTTACATACTTTTTACACTGTTTTACATACTTTGTACATGCTTTTACATGCTTTTTACATACTTTTTACACTGTTTTTCATGCTTTTCTCACTGTTTTACATGCTTTTCTCACTGTTTTACATGCTTTTTACACTGTTTTACATGGTTTTTACATGCTTTAAGACTTTTTACATACTTTTTACACTGTTTTACATAGTTTGTACATGCTTTTACACTTTTACATGCTTTTTACATACTTTTTACACTGCTTTACATGCTTTTTACACTGCTTTACATGCTTTTTACATACTTTTTACACTGCTTTACATGCTTTTTACACTGCTTTACATGCTTTTTACATACTTTTTGCACTGTTTTACATGCGTTTTACATGCTTTTCACACTGTTTCACATGGTTTTAACACTGTTTTACATGCTTTTCACACTGTTTTACATGGTTTTTACATGCTTTGACTTTTTACATACATTTTACACTGTTTTACATGCTTTTACACCTTTTATTTTCTTTCACGTGCATTTACACTATTACATGCCTTTACACTATTTCACAGCCTGTTCATAGCCTGTTACACTTACAGGCTTTTACACCCTATTACCCTCTTTTACACTGTTTTACATGCATTTACACTCTTTTACATGTTTTTACCTTGTTTTACATGCTTTTACATACTCAATATATGTGTCTTTCCATTAAGCAATTTTATGCTATATTCCAAGTTGCACATAAAAATAGGTGAATGTGAACATAGCGTGTGTGTGTGTGTGTGTGTGTGTGTGTGTGTGTGTGTGTGTGTGTGTGTGTATCGCCTGTATCCGCTGCTAATGTGTGTGTGTGTGTGTCGTAGGACTTTCCGGGCATCGGGAAGAGTGAACGCTCCTTCAAACTGTCTCAGGACATCGTGGTGCTGCTGCTGCTGGACGGGGCTCTGTTCCACTTACAGAGCGTCACCGCATACGCCCTCATGGGCCGCATCTCACCCGTCACATTCAGGTCAGTAACGCACACACACACAACAGGTCACATTTCACACACATAATGCAAAACACACCACACAATATGGCAAAATGAGCTGCAAACATCCACACTGGCTTGATCTTCAAAGGGATAAATCACTCAAAACTGAAAATTCTGTCATGTACTCACCCTTTACTTAGTAGAACAGTTGACTACTGAGTAGATGAGCTTACTCACTGACTAGCAAGTCGCTGAGTTGACCCATTGACTAATGAGTTGATTAGTGAGTTGACTAGTGAGTAGATGAGTTGACCTGTTTACTAGTAAGTAGGTGAGTTGACTTGTTGATTAGCGAGTAGATAAGTTGACTCCTTGAACCATTGACTAATGAGTAGATGAATTTATTAGGGAGTTGACTTGTTGACCCTTTGTATAGTGAGTAGATGAGTTGACCTGTTGACTATTGAGTAGATGAGTTGACTTGTATTATTGACTAGTGAGATGAGTTGCCTTGTTGACTCATTGACGTGTGAGTATATAAGTTGACTAGCGAGTAGATGTGTTGATTAGTGAGTAGATGAGTTGACTAGTTGACCCATTAGCCCCTTTCACACATACAGACCTTTCCGGAAAATTACCGGCAATTTTCCGGAAAGGTTGTATGTGTGAACAGGTCCTTTTTGAAAATACCGGTAAATTCGTTCTGGCTATTTTCCGGAAAGAGAAGTTGTAACATTACCGGCAATTTGCCGGAATGCTGCGCTGTGTGAACGCAGAAGGAATATTTCCGGAATAAGCGCGTGCACGTCTAGAACGTGCTGACGTAAGACTTCTGCTTTAGCCAATCACAACAGTCAGACGCATTTACGTCCGCGCGGTTTGTGAGAATAAAAGCCTTTGAATATTTTTCCAGACGCATTTAGCTGCTAGAAGTTAGTCAGATAAGGTTTATATGTTCTCCTTAATGCCAACTGTGCAAATAATCATCGATAAGATGCTTATGATAAGCCGTTGTTTGTTTACCTTCAAGCTTTGCGTGTGCCCATGAAACAGCCTGTGAGCGGCAGCACATGCACATATTACGAACATCTCGACATGCGAATATGATCCAGTGAAAGTTGTTTACAATATTGATCATCAAAAGAGTTTGTAATTTAGTCAAATGTTTACAAATACAAGCGCAGCCGTTTAAAGCTCATTTGTGGTGAATGATGTCAGAATTTACCGGTATTTTGGAATGGATGTGTGAATGCTCTTTTCCGGAAAATTTCCGTAACGTCCTCGCCTGTGTGAACAGCGCTTTTTTGAACATACCGGTAAAGTCGTTCCGTAAATTTTCCGGATATTTTCCGGTATCACTGTGTGAAAGGGGCTATTGACTAGTAAGTAGGTGAGTTAACTAGTGAGGAGACGAGTTGACCCAATACTTAATGAGTACATGAGTTGACATGTTGACTGGTGAGTAGATGAGTTGATTGAGTTGACTCATTGACTAGTGAGTAAGTGAGTTAACTAGTGAGTAGATGAGTTGACTACTGAGTAGATGAGTTGATTAGTGAGTTGACCGATTGGCTAGTGAGTAGATGAGTTGACTAATTAGTGGGTGAGTTGACGCATTGACTAGTAAGTAGATGAGTTGACCCAATGACAAGTAGATTAGTTGACTACTGAGTAGATGAGTTGATTAGTGAGTTGACCTATTGACTAGTGAGTAGATGAGTTGACTAGTTAGTCAGTGAGTTGACCCGTTGACTACTAAGTAGATGAGTTGACCCAATGACTAGTAAGTAGATTAGTTGACTAGTGAGTAGATGAGTTGACTAGTTAGTAGATGAGTTGACTAGTGAGTAGATGAGTTGATTAGTTAGTAGATGAGTTGACTTGTGAGTAGATGAGTTGATTAATGAGTAGATGAGTTGACTAGTGAGTAGATGAGTTGATTAGTTAGTAGATGAGTTGACTAGTGAGTAGATGAGTTGATTAGTTAGTAGATGAGTTGACTTGTGAGTAGATGAGTTGATTAGTTAGTAGATGAGTTGACTTGTGAGTAGATGAGTTGACTAGTGAGTAGATGAGTTGATTAGTTAGTAGATGAGTTGACTAGTGAGTAGATGAGTTGATTAGTTAGTAGATGAGTTGACTTGTGAGTAGATGAGTTGACTAGTGAGTAGATGAGTTGATTAGTTAGTAGATGAGTTGACTAGTGAGTAGATGAGTTGATTAGTTAGTAGATGAGTTGACTAGTGAGTAGATGAGTTGACTTGTGAGTAGATGAGTTGATTAATGAGTAGATGAGTTGACTAGTGAGTAGATGAGTTGATTAGTTAGTAGATGAGTTGACTAGTGAGTAGATGAGTTGACTAGTGAGTAAATGAGTTGACTAGTGAGTAAATGAGTTGACTAGTGAGTAGATGAGTTGACTAGTGAGTAGATGAGTTGACTAGTGAGTAGATGAGTTGATTAGTTAGTAGATGAGTTGACTAGTAAGTAGATGAGTTGACTAGTGAGTAGATGAGTTGACTAGTGAGTAGATGAGTTGACTATTGAGTAGATGAGTTGACTATTGAGTAGATGAGTTGACTAGTGAGTAGATGTGTTGACTAGTGAGTAGATGAGTTGACTATTGAGTAGATGAGTTGACTATTGAGTAGATGAGTTGACTAGTGAGTAAATGAGTTGACTAGTGAGTAGA